TTTTTCGGATTCGTTTGTTTTAGTGTCTGTGTGAGAAAGAAAATCGAAAAAATTGAGGATGTTTTTTTTTTCTTAATGAATTGAGACAGGTTTACAAGATCTCGATTGGTGCTGCTTGTAACCTTTCATGGCCTTCGGATAAACTGGTGATTCAAGTACTCGATGATTCTACTGACCTTCTCATCAAGGTAATTTAATAAGGAGATACTACCGCCCCGTTACGGAATCATTCCGTTGGAGTTTGTAACCGTTAGATCAACTATTTCTCGACGTTACATGATGATCTAACGGTTACAAACCCGACGGACTGGTTCCGTAACGGGACCGTAACATTTTCTAATTTAATATATATATTATTTTATTCGGAAATTTCATGATTGTAAGTTAATAAAATGATTGAATTTTTAGAAGTTGGTGTTTGCATAAGTGAAAGAATTAGTTATAATTGTTGGTTTTTGGCATTACTGAGCAACAACAATGAATAATGGTGTTTGCAGGATATGGTGGAGAAAGAATGCATTAGGTGGGGTAACAAAGGCATTAACATTAGGTACCAAATTAGGGAGACAAGAGGAGGCTACAAAGCGGGTGCCCTAAAAGAGGGTTTGAAGCATGATTATGTCAAGAATTGCGAGTATGTTGTCATATTTGATGCCGATTTTCGGCCCGAGCCCGACTTTCTCAGACGGGCCGTCCCGTTTTTGATCCACAACCCTGATATTGCTCTTGTCCAAGGTCGATGGAGGTTTGGTAAGCCTTACTCTTGTCTATAACACTAATTACCTCTTCAATTTCATGAATGCAATTATATATAGTTATCTAATATCTCATAATTATAACTCATTATACAAGTTAACATTAGGTTAGGGTCAAATACATTAATAGAGGTTATTATTTTTAATCAACTAAGTAATAATATTATTTATGAAGAAACACTAAGGTTATGTTTAGTAAACAAATAAGCTAGTTTATAAGTTTTCTGGTAGGAGAAGCTTTTTTAAAAACTCGAATTAATTTATTAAGCTTCTTTAGGTAACTTTTCAAATAAGCTTATTGAAATTTTTGTTTCAGCTAGTTTATCAGCTAATTTTATCATATAAACTAGTTTTTCACCTATAAATTATAAACTCAAAAATTACTAATAAACTATAAGCTAACTTATCCGATATCAGTTAGTTTTAACAGACGCGTAACAAGAAGCAACATGCAAAAGTACCGTCGGTGGTGTGGTGTGTGTATAAATTCATTTGTGTAGGGTGCAAGTATTCTCTTTCTCTCGCTTATTTTGCTTTTCCCTCCTTTTTATCTTTCTTTTTTCGCTATATAATAACTTTGAGGGTAGGGCCCTTTTGGAGGCCCCTTAAAGCACGATATTGGTACCAATTAAGCCGCATCTTTAATTGCTAATCCCCGTACATCACGGTATATGAGGACCTAACAAATCTAATCATGCTTTTGTAGATGTTGTACACTTCTACTTTATTTACTATTTAGGTTAGGACATGTCTGCAAATACTTTAATTAATGATAAATGGTTTATCACCCACCATTGTTAGGTGTGCGACTCGAGTCGACCAACCGATTAGTCGGGGCAAAGTTTCGAATACCGTGGCTGACTACCAAAAAAAGGAATAATAATAATAATGAGCAAAATTTAACCATCTATATTTTAGAATTTGTTTCATTGAAATAGAATTAGGAACATATTCTTACATTTTGACCAACACATTAAAGAAAAATAGTTGGTTCTTTAGTGGAGCATTTACAAAAGTGTTGGTATTATCTGCTGTTTACATATTACCAATTTAATTAACCGGAATGACGAAATTGTCCTGACTATTTAGTTAGAACCCTATAGAAGTAATATGTCGGCTACGGGGGCAAATTTGTACTATCAGCTAAGCAGACAAAGGGCAGTTAATATAGAGCTGGATGATGTCAGTGTAGGGGTAGAGATGTAGTTAAATGCAGCACGTGGTGTTATTCCCGTGGTCAGATTGGTGTACCCGCACCGACAATTTGTGGAAAACCAACCTGCCGTTTGGAGAAAAAACTTGAAAGAGAATATCACGGGAACTATAGTGAACGATAGGGTGAGCATGGGTCGGTACGTTTTATAGATTGAAAAATTTCTAGAATCGTAACAAAATTCGAAGATTATTAAATTCGATCTTTGGAACCCTACCAAATATTCGAGACGGTTCGGTTCGGAGATTTTTATTTTTCGGTTCAGTTCGGTGCACTACAAAAAAACACTACAATTCCAACGGCAAAAATTTCCGTTAGAAATTCCAATGAATATTCCAACAAACTTAATTTTATGTTGGAATAAATGTTGGATAGTTGAGGAATTCCAACAGATTTTTCCCGTTGGAATAGCTGTAGGTAGGGGTGTTCACGGTCCGGATTGGTCCGGTTTTAGCC